AGACACTCGCAATCTCAAAGGAGTTATTTCAAGTGCGTTGCCGGCTTCTTGTGGGTTATTAAGGATTTCAGGATAGGGGATTTGAGGATTGAGTATGGGAGGGGGATGCGGTAACTAGAACATATGTTTATGAGCTCCTGCCGTGGCTAGAAACTAATCCTCCTGTCCTGTCCTGGGTGTCTTCAAGGCCCGAGTGAATAGGTTGCTTATGGGTAAACATGCTTCATCGTAGGTGGCATCACCGTTTACCACCAGGTGTGAAAGCGACCAAATGCCTGGCTATTACGAAAATAGGCATATTTTAAAATAAATGTATGCCTCAGGCCTCCATTAGTTTTTTTTACCTGCCTATAATTTCCTTTTGCTGGGCAAAGGCTTCCCCAGCTCGCTTCCACACCTCCCGAATTTTCGACCGTGTCCATCAGTCACGACGATAGGCGTCTGTGTAGATCGTCAGGCCATCTTTTCCTGAGGATCCTTTCCTTATCCTAAAGTGTCCACTGGGTGACAATAAGAGATAATTTAGAAAAAAAAATAGATTTGTGTTGCAGCGTTGTGTTCGCCGTGTGAGTGAGGTTACCGGAGGCCCAATCCCTCCCCTTCCCGCCATTCCTTCCCAATCCTTAAATAACCTTTATCCCGAAAATGCCGCTTGCTGTTGTTTGATGACCGGATATATGATAAAAAAATTAAATATTCTGAGTATGAAACAAATGGCCACCCATCTACAAAACAACCGTGACTAGCGTAGCTTAACTTGATTCACAAGCAAGTCTTTAGTCACAAATTGTCACAATGTCTCCAAGATCCATTACACGGTGGTAATCACAAATAACTTCACGGCTTGTTTACTCCACAACAAGGTAAGCAGGTTAGCAAGCTATCCTACAGATAAAATCTAATTGTTGACAATTAACACTAACATGTGCAAAGATTTATGTGTCAGTGTGTCTGTCATTTTTACTTTTCTTTTAGTTTAGAAATTACTAGAGCGATATAATTAGTTCAATTTACACTGCTGTTGTAGATTTCGGTTTGAACATTAGGATATATTAATAAAAGGAGAACATGCTAATTTAAGTGTGGGAGAGCTATGCTTCGGCACGAATGGGCTGGCTCGACCGGAGTCATACCACCGCGTCAAAGAAATCCTGCGTGAAATAACCACAGTGTTGTGTTTAGCCGTGTGAGGGAGGTTTTTGGACGCCTAATACTGCCCATCCCCCCCAATGACTAAATCTCCAAATGGCAGGCGCTTACGGTGGCCGGAGATCGTTGCGCGATTCCCGATGCCCGGAGCATCTCTTGCGGCATTTGGGACGTGATACTCCCCTCCCGCGCATTGCCTCCTTCTTCGTGAGGTAAATAGGTCTACAGTCTAGCAGTAGCTTATAATACAAGCCCATTGTCTTGGAGATGATTACGATGATAATGGTCTCTGATTATTTAAAGAACAACACGTGTAATGTCATGAACTACATTCAGCAGGTGATTTTTAATTTTAAATGCTTATGTAGTTATTTTTAAAATACTTCTACATGTACAAGTTTTTGTAACAAGTTGTAAAATTCTATATCTAAATTTATAGCTTATAATATAAAACCTTTTTTTATGTTTGTTTGTTTCGCGAATCGGTTTTGTTTGAGGAGATAAATTACTTCTCGATGAAGGCGTGAGGGAGTGTCAGACTCTTGCTGACTAAGAACCATCAACCTCCTACTTCATATCGTCATTGTTTGTTTCATTGTTTCATTATAGACATTATAGACATTTCATCATCGGTACTACATAACTGGAAAAAGCTATAGGTCAACCCTTTTTTTTTGTGAGGGGAAAATCATCAAATGACTTCTCCCGCCCAGGGCCGGGCGGGAGGGAGTGTCAGACTTTTACTGACTAAAAACCCCCCTGTTCCTTCTCCTGCTCTGGGCCGAGGTCGCGGTGCCTCATTGCGCTTACCCCGCAACCCCGGCTGATAGATCAACCCTATGAGAAACTTGTTACTTTTATACCTGTGTTCGTTGAGAAAAATACGTAATTTGATGTATTGCTATTATTTATTTGTAGGTGTTCCATGGGATTAGTGTGGCTGGGCAACTGGCTGCTGTTTAACGTGTCCTTGATTTGATTACTGCATGGAACAAGTCCTTGTGTGATCCACAAAAGGTGGTTCTGGGTCTGGGTGTGATATGTATTTGAAATTTGTATCTTTGTACGCACTTACGACACAGGAGAATAACCTAGTGTGGGGCAACATTAAAAGGGTGGGTTTTATGATGTTTTTACATGGTGTTTTGAACAATGTTACCTAATTTCAGGTTATTGGGAATTATTGAATACTCAACCTTGATTTTTAGACTAAAAATATATGCCAAATTTCAGCATTAAAAACCTGTCCTCTTCATAGGTATTAGTCACTCTTAGTAAGTTCTTTACTTAAAAGCAAAGCCATGGGCGATTCCTCGTTATAATAAAAATGCTATAATGCAGTGACTAATTACACTTGTAATAAAACATAGCTTAATCAGCCGTATTTGGTATTAGTGTCTAGACCAGACATTTTTTACTGATTAAGAAAACTAAGTAAGTAGGTTACTTAGCGATAGACGCATGTAATAATCTGCTGATCTTGTATTTCATAGCTGGTGTGATGATTTTTACATAACACATGTTATAGTATTGCGACTGTCTTTTGTTAAGGGGCGAGGCAGTGTAACTCTAGTCAAGATGTGACCGTACGCTTTCTTAAATCCTTTTCCTCAAAGGAGGAAAGGAGGTCCATAAGGAAAAGGATTTAAGAAAGCACCTCTCCTGTTGCCTATTTTGCTGTGCCCTACCGGGTCCATAATTGATCTCACATAGATTGTTACTACCCTTAATATTTACTAAATGGTAAAGCAATAAAGGTATTGAGTAAATGGCCAGCAACGCGCTTGTGGCTCCTCTGGTGTTGCCGGTGTCCATTGACGGCGCTGATCATCATTTATCGTCAGCTGATCCCTCTCGTCATTAAACTCCGCTGGATCACCGTGTGTGCGGGACGTGTTAAACTCTTACTGACTAAAAACTATTTCGTGCCTTCTCCTTTGAGCCGGGAAGCAGTATATCATGGTGCTTACATCAACCTGGATATATCTGTGTGTTGATATACTAATATTATAAAGTGGTAATTTGTAAGTTTGTATGTAGGGGGTAATTTTTGGAATGCGGATTGCCAAAATTCTTTCACTGATAGATAGCTACAATGTTCTTGAGTGCTATAGGCTATAAAACATCACGCTACGATCAATTGACTGCACGGTTGGTGCGGTGGCTGGGCAACTGGCTGCCGTGCAACGTGTCGCGGGTTCGATTCCCGCACGGAACAACACTTTGTGTGATCCACAAATTGTTGTTTCGGGTCTGGGTGTCATGTGTATGTGACATTGTATGTTTGTAAACGCACCCGCAACACAGGAGAAAATCCTAAAGCGGGGCAACGTTTTTTTTTAAAAAAAAAAAAAAAAAAAAAAATGCCCTGTGTGAAAGTGTGGTGGTGGCCCCGAGACGCCCGCTTCTCATACATGAGGGTGTAGGTTCGAAGTACCAATGTGACTTCTTCCAAGTTATATGTACTTTCTATGGTTATTTAGACACCACTGACATACGGTGGAGGTAAACATCGTGTGGATTCTAATTATAAATTTGAAATCGCCAACCCGCATTGAGCAAGCGTGGTGATTAATGCTCAAACCTTCTCCGTGTGAGAAGAGGCCTTTGCACAGTATTATTATCTTGTTGACTATTATTATAATGCTAATTTCAATTAAACCAGTGTTAATGATCTGACGAAGGAGTTTGTAGCTCGTTCTTCTCCATTCAAATCTTCAATTTGGAACGAGCACCTAGCTTCACTTACAAACAGACAGACAGACTACTATTTGTGGATCATGCAATGTTGTTCTGTGCGGGAATCGAACCCGTGACACGTTGCATAGCAGCCAGTTGCCTTGATACTTCGTCAATCGTGCAAACAAATTTGGCTTTGATGTTTTTTTTTTATTTGAGACTAGACTTTGTGTTTTATCAGGAATTAAAGATACTTGAGTTTTCTGGTCATATGTTGTTGAATTCATAAATCCTTTAAGATTTCAGTTTTAATGCATTGATACCTGTATTAAGTTTGGGTTTAAGAAAGGAAATAAAATTCAGAAATAATTGTAATGTACACAATTTATTCGTATCGTATAGTGTTCTTATACAAAGATAATAAATTGTAAAATCCTCTTTCACGGTCCGAATAATAAATAAATACTTAGTATACCATCTTCTCAGTCCTATCACATGCCCTTAAGAGCAATACTAGGAGTAACATTTACAATATTTAGCGAAATACTTGTCAACTAGCATCTCTTAGGATTCGATACATTTACAAATTTAATCTTCTGTCTACCACGAGTCCCTTACTCACTACAACTCGAAGTCATCTCGCTGTTAACTATTAACTACCATTCGCTTTTCAAAAGGAAACGAATACAGATCGAGATTTTGTGAGTAAGGAACCCCTAGTAACGACCATGGTTCCCGAAAGATGAAATCGCCATTTTCTTTTTTTTACTAATAAGTGTACAAAAATATTCCTTTATGTCGCTATTTATAAAGGTAGGTATGTATTGTTAAAGGCACTGGTATTCTTGTTTTTGTTATATTTATCAATACATCTGTCATATAGGATTCAATGTATGAAGTACTATTTATGTCTTACATAGCATTTGCGATTTCTCACCAGTTAACCAGAGGACCTATCATCTTTTTGGTTCAAAACTTAACGGGGCAATCCGAAATGAGAAATATACATTAATTTTATAAATAACCATCTAAGTTGGACTTAAATTTACTTAGATCAAAGCTTACAAACTACTTATAAGAACATAGTCTTTAGCCATCGATTTTTTCACTATCGAGTCTTCGAAAAGATGAAACAGATCTACTACTTTAACTTAATTACATATACATACATAGCTCATCACTAAAAATGCATTTTTTATATCCTATCACTGAGTAGACAAGTTTAATCTGTTCGAAAAGTCTGTAAACCGAACATAATTAGTCTCATTTTCATATGAAAGGGTCCAGGAGGCGCGTCTACGACGACCTGCCACTACTTCTGCCTACCCTACACGAGTACAATCTATACATCGACCACGACAGACAACTAATAGGAAGGATTACAATAGGCGTCGGCTTAGCCGCTTACAGCTGCACAATATGATACAAATATAATATTCATCTCTTTACAACGTGGTAACTTCTTCTACTGGGAGGGGAGACAGTTTGTACGAGCGAGTTCGACGCTGAGCGCGGGGCGCGTGCGAGCGCGGGGCGCGGCGCGGGCGCGGGCGGGGGCGGCTGCGCGGTCCAGGCGCAGGCGGCGGCTGCTCAGTGCTCGTGCGCGCGCGCCTTGTTCTGGTGCATCATGTTCTTCAGCGTGGCCACCTCCGTCGCCAGCCGCGCCAGCTCCGCCTTCAGGTGTGCGTCGTCCTCCTCGGCCACTAGCCTGTCATCAGGTCGCTGCGGCCTGAACTCCGCGCCTATGGAGATCCCGGAGTCTCTTTCGTCACTTGAGCCTTCCCCGTCCCATGAGGGTGAGGACCGGGGGCCTGGCTCCTGCTTTATGTGCTGGAGGGAGAGCAGGGCACTGGCAACATCCTTGTCACCGAGATGGGATTTATGGCGAAGTTTGAGAGGCAGCCCGTTGTTTTCAGGGGCGTACTGTTCAGCGGTCTCATCCCCTGAGCCTGAGAGAGAGGACAGCTCGTAGGGAGAGGGCACGCGGCGAGATCTGGACAGGTTGAGAACTGAGCCGGGGGGCTCGTAGTGTGCTGGGTGAGGGTAGTACGCCTCAGGGGCCGGTAACCTTTCTTGGTAAGGTTCTGGCTGGCGCTGAGGTGGCGGTGAGGGGGGCGATGCAGGTGCTTGTGGTGGTGGTGGTGGTGGCGCGGGGAACAGTGCGTTTGGCGTCAGCTTACTCCTCTTCGTCACACAGAGAACCTGGTCACATGTAGGGAGAGTGGCCAACACCTGGTCTATGCTTATGAGGGTTTCTCCACATATTCCATATTTCTCCTTTATAGCATCAAGCTGTGCTTTGAGTACGTGGTTCTCCTTTGACAGTTCAACGACGCGCTGTTCCAGGACCATGTCATTGAAGCGTCTCTTTTCCCGGGAACGCTTGGCGGCTTCATTGTTTCTCCTGCGACGGTCCCAGTAACCATCGTCTTTCTTGCTGTCGGGGATGAACTCCCTCTGTTTGCGCTGACCGAAGAATTCCTTGCGTTTGTTGAATTCGAAAGGAGAGTAGTCATTTGGGTCGCCGGGGCTGCCCACGGGACCTTGGCTCTGGTCCATTGGGAAGTGCGGGGAGACGGAGTGGCGACCTCTAGGAGGAGGCGGTGCGCGGGAGGGGGGTGGCACGGGGCCCAGGGCTCCACCACCCGCTCCGCTCAGCAGCTGCTGCTGACTCAGGATGAACTCGGCAACCATGTTTCGGCGGACGTCGATGGGTCCGCACGAATTATCACTGTGGTTCTGAAACAAGCGAAAAGTTACGTTAGTTACGGTTTGTAAAAAAATTCGCTAACTGTTGCAGTTGTCTAAATAATGTCGCTGTTACAAAATCGGTCGGTTGCAAAAACTGAATGTCGCAAGATCCCGCCGCTGCAAAGTTGTTGCACGTGGATCACCTTTGTGAAATAATGTTGCCACATTTCAACGCTTTTCACTCCCTTCATGTTAGCCAAACTCATTAATAAGTCGTGTTTCTTAATTTTAGCGTGTTACAATGGATTGGTAACCAATTTTAAGGTTACACCGGATTTCTTCCGTTACAAAACTCACTTCCTATTGCCGAACGTTGATTTTGCTTAACAAGTAATGTTACGATGGACGTTTGAAAATAGAATGATTGCAGAACACTGACGTCGAAGACGACCGATGGCTGATTACACGACAAATAAATTGAAATACTCATACAAATTTAATTACGAGTAATTTTTACAAGACGAATTTAGATCATTAATTTCGAAATTGCCTTACCATGCTTTAAACACGTGACAATTATTAAGTTCTTCACTTCCATTGGGGTTAAACTAACAATAATATTTAGGTTTCGTAACAGTCACGTTGATTTTAACGTGGGCTAAAATTAGCTGATTTGTCGACGCGTGATACGCCGCGAGCATCACTCAACATAATGTCGTTCACCTTTATGTAACGCGGCTGTTCGATAGGACAATCGATTTACATAAATCATGTACATTTTTCCATTAATGATCAATTATGAGCTGGTAATACAGGAAGTGTAAAAAATGTTCCACTACACATTGTTATCAAGTTTATTATCCAAAATTAACAATGGTTAGGATCATTTCTAAGTGCCTATTGTGGCGACTAAGTTTGATTGTTTTTTCAAATGATTTTAAAACAATGAGAGTTGCATTGGGTTGTGCATAGAAAAAAACTTAATCACGTTCGATAACACGCGGTCTGGAGGCAGGCAACGTGAGAGTTAGTTTTTTTAAAAGAAATATTAAGATTTTCCTCTACCTTCGATGGCTATAATGTGTCAAAACACGTGCGCTTAATAAAAAGGATGCGAATGAACTGATTTGAATTTCGAATTAACTTTGTAAATTTTAAATTGATTTAAATTTCGAATCAATATCCGTCAAGCTTCGAGATTTAAACAGTAATTAATATTAAGAAGCACATTAGTATTAAGTGCTGTATAGTTAATAAATTGGTTTCTTCAATATTTTTTCTTCTATGTCATAAAGTGAAGTCGCTAAAAAGTATGATTGTGTTATTGATACGTTCCGTTCCACGACACGACAAGATCGGTGTCAGTAGGTCGGCCCAGATGCGCCGGCGCCCGTTATGTCGTCTAACTGTTTAAATAATTGCGCCAACTTTAATTGCTATACATTGTTATTGAAAAATGACAGTGGGATCTTTGTTGTGCTTAATAAAATCGGATTAAGGTTAAACAGATCAAATCTAGGTTATAATTTAGACCAATTAAATAGATAAACTCTTAACTCCATAGTTTTAACGAAATGTTAAAATTATGTTGATTTGTCTTCTTAATAGAAGCGAGTTCCGTTAGTTCAATATTACTATATTGTACAGTTAGATATAACTATTCAAACATTTTTTGTCGGTTGGCCCGTTCGAAACGCCCACTTTATTAGGTGTTAATTTAAAACAGTATTCATGATCGTAATACATGGAAATAGTTTCGTCATAACTTACGGGACTTTGGACTCTTTGGTGACATGGACTTTAAAACAAACAAACCTCATTTTTTTAGTCTATGATCACCGGTAGTGCCAACCTTCAGAATTGAAATGTCACTTTTTGAATTTTGATTGTTTCAAATGCAACGCAATCAATTTGTGTAAAAATGCTCGTCTGTAAAGTAAATTATAATTTTTTGCTCCATTTGCAAAGAGATTAACAGAAAAATGTTACCGTCCGTTATACTGTTGACGCTTGGCGGAGCACAGACAGTTAAACACCGTTTCAAACCGAACTGTTACTATTTAGCATTGGTTATAAAAATATAAGCATTGTTAAGTTTTTGTTGTTACTTTTTAATGAGGAAATATAGTTTTTAATGCGTCCTCTTTGCAACTTATGAGTTTGTGCCACGGATTCTACTAAATACTTTTTGGAGTAAAGTTTTTAAGAATGTCTTTTTACATTAGTTAATGAAGTAAATATAATTGGATAAAAACGATAAAAACCACATTTCTTACATTAGGTTGACGTGCCAATTAAGACTTACTGTAAACTACAGATAAAATTAATCAAACGTTAGTCTAGAATTAAAACGTAACCGCTAAACGATGACGACACGCTAAATAGTAGTTTCATAACAGTATTACGAGTTTTAGACATCAGTGATGAGCATAAAAAACCGTTTTTGGTTGTACCGTACGGACCCAGTTTTCGGATAACGGACCGCAGCGCGAGAAAGTACTCGATTAGCGATAACTGTCGATTGTCAAAACCCGCTTGATAGTTGCTAGCAACGTATTGTGTAACCGTTATAACGCTATTGGCCGTGATGGGAAAATATTTCGCTTCAAAATTTCTTCAATCTTCAGTCACGTTGTTAAGGGCTGGACCTACGCAACACTGCACGTGTCGTAGGTCGGAGCACCGGCTTCAACACGCGTCGATCCCTCCAGTCTTAGTCTAAATATAGAATAGTTTTTACAATCTTCGAGTTTCGTATTTCCTAAACGCGTAAATTTTTGTCACGTGTGCTTTGAATAGTATTCCTCAATTTTAATAGGATTCTTATTATAATATGGTCAATAATGTGCATTTGGTATTGTACTTGGTACTTTTAAAACATCGTCGCGTTGAGAGGGTTATGGTTCTAATTTCAATTTAAATATTCGAACAGGTTTTGCCCAAAACGTGTGTGCTCAAGATAAAACAAATGAAAAAAAAAACGAACAATACAATTTATTTCGCTCAAGTGTTCGCATAAATTATAATTAATTAAATTCTTTTTCTATTAAGTCACGTGTTCTTGAATCATGATCTTAAAATTATTTATCAAGCGCATTTTCTTATTAAGTGGCTTGTGAGGTGTCGACTGAGTCATGTACAAAGTTCTATCAAACAAACATTGATAGCATTTATTTACATAGGAAATATTTTAATATATTACACAATAATATAATAATTATTCTATATTAATTAGTTCCTGTTAAATTCCACTTATAAATGACATAATAAATGCAAATGGTTGCACAGAACATATGTACGTTAGCGTCATAGACTATGCACGTGCTAAGGCACGAGGTTGTCTCTGATTATGTCATTAGAACCGCAATTTGAATTAGAAATAGACAAGTCTCGTGCTGAATAATCGTTTGATATTTAATAATCGAATTTAATTACTAAGCAATGTTATTATCGATTAATAATTTTAATATTTAAATCGATTTGTTCGAATTCTATTTATAGCTCGCATGACCCCATCCGATATTGTTATCAGTCAGTATTTGGCAAAGTTTTTTTTTTCGGATAGTCTTGTGTCATGTCAGAGTTCAGGGAGGGAGGCCTGTTTGACCTTAGTGATTTGATCGTCCCTATACCTGCACACGTGCCAAAGCGTGGTCAGGTCACGCGGCCATCAACACGTGTCGGCTGTACTTGAACCTCACGTTGTGTTGCGCAACGGACCGACCCAAGCACGTTTGCTCTTCTCTACATAGTTATATAAACTGCAACGTGATCGAAGAACGTGAAATTTAATTATTAATTGCCTTTAATGGCGTTGCCCTTGGCTTTGACAGTGGCATTGTTTTGTGCACACATTTACGCGGGTTTTTACTGTTTTCCTCCGAGATTTGATTATAATTATGTATGCTTAATTTAATATCGTGCACGTTGTTCTGCCAAGACGATGACTACTTATTAACAAAACTTTAAACTGTTATTTTAAGAAAAAAAAAACTGGTTTCGTAAATTTGTAGAAAACGTGGGCAAAGTCAAGTTTAATTATTGCTACATTCGTGTCAGTAGAAATAAATAACAGCGCTCTTGACCTTAGTTTAAATAATATATAATCGGCGCCATCTTGGAAAAAGTAGAGAAAGTAGTACAGCGGTAACTTTCCACGCGCTTGCCGTTTATTGCGCGGGAAAAGTGGGACGGCGGCCATATTTGATTTGACGCTTACCACCAGCTATGAAATGTTAGAAATACTTTTTTTATAATTCTCTAGGCATTTAAAGCGGGCTAGTTTATTTAAAAAATATGTCGTGACATTTATTTTTTATATCTAATAAAAGAATTCGCATAACATTAACGGTTATATTAGATTGTCCAATTCAATGTTTGGTAAAAAACCGCGTTGAACGTTTTCACATTCTTCCGGGTAACAGTGTCGATGAAAACTTAGCAAGAAATAAAAAGCTGTTGCATAATTTACATGACGTTCCCGTTGGCGCCAATGGCTCATTGTCTGTGGTTATGAATTATGTCAAGATGCGAATGTTTTGAAAACTTGGTGTTCATCAAGTCATATGTTATGTCTTAGATCCAGTCTGCTGGCGTATCCACGTTATTTTGACTTACCACCTTTGAAGTCTCGTCTCCTTGATATATTTCAAACATTTTACAACAAATATTACACATATACTTGACCGATTTTTCGCGCGCAAGACCTAATTAAAGGCGGGAGCGTTATTTCTGTACTGGCGGCCTCTATCGGTCGACTCACGATAATGGTTTGGTGTCAAGGTTATATTTCGTAACACCGATTTATATACGTGCCAAGGCTTTTCCGCTTTTCCGGTAGAAATTGTCTTTTTAAATAAAAGATAACGAATGATAACAATTGTTTGAGTGAATCAGTTTTTTAAGACAAAGAGACCTACTTACGTGGCCTTGCTCCATACCTGCTAATTGCTACATTATTAAGAAACATTTAACCTATTTCCTTGTACTAGATTCGTAGAGTTGCTGCGAGTTACATAACAGGCCTACTTCGAGGAAGTGTTGTAAGAGGAGCGAACGTTGTTTTGTTCCATTCTGAGAGGTCATTCGTCACGAGATAATGTTTTTGGGGCTTATTATCGGCCGTCATAATATCAACTGCCATTATCGTTTCTGACTCACGGGGTTTCCCATTAAATTAATTTGTCGTTTGAAAACAACGAATGCAAATGTCCTAGTTTGGTCCGTCAGTGTCCAAGTCATCAATCACTGGTGTTTCGGAGCTGGTGTGTCCACAATGGGCCACGTCACATCGGTCCACTTCATCGCAATTGGTTGTACACATTCACGTGCGCATCACTAAGTAGGTTACAGTTACGCAGTGAGCGAGATAAAAAAAATAGGTCAAGTTATCTTTACTTGTCCTCGCGCCGATGAAATTATCGCTCTTGTTATTGCGCGTGAAAAAAAAATCTACTTACGTAACTGTTGTATAAAAAGCAGTAATCCAGGCAAATATATCGAGGGTTACATCCCAATGTCGTACGTTTATAATTTCTGTAACCCTGGCTGGATTTTTCTTTATCTTTTGCCAATATTTACAAACGTATTTCGGCTAATTAGGTGACGGTCTTTGTAAATGGTGTCAGAATACATGTTTACTTAGGTATAGTTTAGAATGAGTCAATTATGACTGGATACCGATAAATGCATGTCGATTTGCGGTTAAATAAACGTTGTGACCTTAGCGTTTGTATTGCTTTCCGTACAACCTTGTGTTTAGTTCCGTATTACATCACATGCCTACAATGCATTTCGTGATAACTCTATCTACCTGTTCGACATGTCTTTGTTCAATACAACAACTAAGTAAAATAATTAAAAAAAAATACTTAAAATTGTATTTTCGGTGCGTTTCACGGAAGTTTCCTTTTGCAAAGTAAACAAGGCAACAATGAAAAAAAATGACAGTCGCATAAAGCAACGTACTTGGAACCTTCATTTGTCTTTGGCCATATTTGACAGTTGAGAGTTCGTTGAACTTTCGCCATTTTTGCTCTTTAGCGGACTTTGGCGTGGGTTTGTTAGTTTGATGTACTACGTTTAGTTCGTGGTAGACATCACGTTGTATTGCAGTCGATTGCGCAACACACACCCTGGGGATTACGTCATAATATTGGCGACCTTTGCAGGCCGATCGATTGTTGCACTCATACTGCATGTCTATGGAACAGGTGGTAGCAAATATTGCGGTAGGGGTGGGAAATGACACATGTTTATGGTTGTAACTACTTTTTTATATTTGTTTTTAATTTTATATTTTCTGTTAAGGGAATTCAAACCCGTTCTGATTATAATTTTATTTGAAGTTAGGAGATGTGTTTTTTTATATGCTGATATTGTAAATTGAATTTTGTTGCCAATGTTTATTATTTACTAAAATAATTTCATTAAGTGTTAATGCTACAATTTATTATGGAAACAATTTGATTCTTGTATTGGTATAAAAATCCATAATAATTGTTCGTTACTTTGTTGATTAAAAATGAAAGAAAAAAATCCTAAAACACTACATGCAATGCAATAATTACAAAACAATAAAGTGCAATATTAACAAAAAATCTAGTTTCCGTACATCCGCGGGCGAATGCACGCCGGATCGGAACCTTGAACCACTTGTGTAAGCGACTCACAATGGCTTACGACAGAACCGTGCCAGGCGCAACTTACGACACCAACCAACGCAATCCCGCAATTAAACCCACTACACACCGTATATTACTTGTACTTTACCAACATTACAACACTAACTAAAAGAAAAACAATAAAAAAAATTAAAATGACACAGCACTATTCCAAATCAGAATATCATTTATCAGATTATTTCGTAACATATTAGATAAACGCAACACAGGATAGGATTCGTAAACATTTGTAAAAAGAATTGTGTACGTTCATAAAATGCGTCGAAAACATTATTGAGGAAGCAGTATTGGAAACAAAAGAACGAAAACAAGGTGAAACGATGAGGGCTGTCATTGAGAAGTTTCAAGAACACAAGAATTCAACAAATAAAATGATTAACATTGCCGTTTTGGCACGGAACTCGCGAGATGAGTAAACAGATTTGGACGCAAAGTCAATGACTCTGTACGAGGAAAACGGAAAAATGTTGTATCTACTGCATTATATTCCTATGAACCATATTTATATTTAATTCTCGAATATTAACCGAACTATCGATGTCGAAATTCAAATTTATTCGAATTTCTTTTTTTCGTTATAAAAATGATTCCAATTTTGTTTTTTTTTAAACGCACATTCCAATTTTAATTTTATTTTTTCTTATCTGCAAATTGTTGTTTGTTTTCATTTGCATTATTATCATGTAAATAATCTATTATTTATTTTGGGTATGAATTTTTTACTACATTAAATTTTACGATATTTTGCTTTTGGGTATAAAACTCAAATCTGGAATTTATTCTTAACTACACTCTGTTATTTTTCGGCATTTCATTAGTTTTGAATATGTTTTTGATTAGCAAATCAAAAGCACGATTCTAACTGGACTTGAGAATTATTGTTGAAAAACTTTGTAATTTCGCCGACATTCAGTTTTTGCACGAAATTCTACAAAATAAAAATATAAACAAACAAAAGAGATACTTACAAAAATATTTGCGGTGTTTTTGCACTCCTTATCCGGAATTATCCAAATCGTGGGTACAATATCATAATCCACAAAACAGTAATTCACAACGTTCTTATCGCTCACAGTTAGTTTATAAACAGTAAATAAATATAAAATTCAATGCAATGTTTCACTCCCACTTAATCACGTCCTGAACGATTTTTGTCACTATCACAATGTTTGAATGACGAAATATCCACTGCGTATGGCGCTGTGTTCCAATCGCTTGGACAGGTCCGTACTGTGTGAAGTCTAGAGTGCGACTAAATTTTGTAGTGGGGTCGCGCTACACCCAGCCTGCAACACGCACACATCGACACCGCTATCTTAGTGTGAGTCACAGCGCGCGTGTGTGCGTGCCCTGCGCTAGTGTAGGTATATTTACGTAATGCCCTGACGGAGTTCGTATAATCACTTTAGCCAGTATTGAGTCAATGTGCCCGATTTTTTAGCTAATTCACAACTATTGAGTCATATGTTTGTCGCTTTTTGCGTTTTCCATGAAATAATTTAATCGATTGATAAGCGTTCGCTTTAGTTTTGGACAATTACGTGGCGTAAGAATTCGGTCTAGTATTTACGGCGTTACAATTTTTAACTACGAAAAGTTGGGTAAATGTTAATTTTTTAAAACGGTTTGTCGGTAATGGATTTTCGTAATTGGCTATTGGTAGTATTGTTACAAAGTATTTTGTTTTCAAAATATTTCGTAATTTCGTTTCTATTTTGACGAATTATCTTTGTTTGTTCCTTTGTTTTAGCTTCGCATTATTTTTATTGGAGTTAGTAAACAAGATAGTGGATTATTATTATTAATAATACGCAGTTAACCGTTTATTTTTATTTTTCGAGTGCTACGGGCTACGCAATTGCTACAGCGTAGCGGGTCTACGAAAATATAATAATATTATAAAAAATATCAAATATTTTAATTTTGATTAGAAATGATTTGTTAATTAGACAACAATTTTAAACCTTAGCCGATGACATTGATAAAAATACTTACATTTATTTTATTACCTAGATTTACATAATACCTAGACTTATATTAAGGACTCAGATCAATTTTATAACAGGTTCGTTCCAATACGAGATTGTTGGCTATTATTACTCAGTAATATTACATCAAAATAAGGAACTATTGCGAAACGGTCAAGCGTGAGTCGTGTCCACGTCATAGGTTTATGACACCGGTTGTAACAAAGGTTGTATTTCGCCTCGACAAGGTTGAACTTGTTATTGAATTTTGACGTGTTTATGACATATGACATGACTAACAATACTGTCATGGCGTCTGCTGTTTAGATGTTTATCAAAAAATAGGTTTACATGGAAATTAGGTATTTATAAACAATGTTCTAGTTATTTCAGTCTGTTTTGATCGACAGGTCTGGGTGATAAGATAATGGTAATGTTTTCAATATTGATGATTTTAATATTTATTATTTGTTGCAGAAATTATCGTTATAAATATTGATTGCGTTTTGTTTGTTACCTTGTTAGTCTAGAGGTTAAAGGTACATTGCAGAGTTGAGAAAAATGTTATTGTGTGTTTTCTAAGTGCAATGCCTCTTAAGTGAAACTATTGAGGAAGGGGTTCCGGTTTCGTTTTTCGGCATAATACTCAAAATATTATTGGTGTTTTTTATTACAATGGGGTCTGAAATCACATTTCATCATCCATGTTATATATTTATAACATTACTGTGTTTTAGAATTCTGTTTTATTACGATAATAGATTACACAGGATTAATATTAAAATTAACTATGGGGACCTGTTTAGTATTTCACGGAAACCGCTTGATATGACTTGGTTTTACCGTGTATTCTATTTCAATAAATTGTTGGTATAATTATGTAATTAATTTAGTAGATAAAGGGGAATTTTATGTATACATGTTTTATAGGTAATTAATAATAATATTTTAAAGCTGTCTCTCTCTCTTACTTTCTTCTTTTAAGAGTTGGGGTTACTTGTAAAAGCGGAATAATGTACCATGGCTTCGGCCTGGAACAGGAGAAGAAGAAAGAATGGCGTGGTTTTTAGTCAATAAGAGTCTGTCTCTCTCGCTCTATTCAGGGAGTGAGAAGACATTTTATGATTGACCCTACTTGAAAAAAGGTGGAGTATTGTTTAAGAAATTAGTTTACATAACTGATGAAAAGACTAGTTTTTTGTTAGTAGTTAGGACTTAATAAAACTAGTAATAAGTTTGAAGTAACCAAAAGCAATGAAAAACATCGAAAAAGTTTTGTATCACTTACATATTAATATACATATAATGAATAATGTATGTTTGTGTATAGAACAGGGAAATATTATGATATAAGCTGTATCTATGTAATTTTTATTAAACCTTGACACTGTTCTTTTTTCACGTTATGTTTTTCATACATTTTTATATTTTCCTGTAAAACGGCTTCAGACGATTTTTTTTTGTTTGTTCGCTACTAGTTTTATTATACGTGAGATAAAGACTATTTTAGTTATAGAGGGATTTTTTAAAACACTTGATTAAGTTTAGGTAATTTTGATACTTATGCAGTAAGGAATAAAGTTGGTCTTGATGTAAACTTTTCTGCACACCTCCCTGGAAAGTCACAAGCTTTAATACTCACTATCTTTCTATAATTAACCAAAAATATCTATCGTTAATCAGTTATAAGTTGATTTTATCGAAACTAGAATTTTTCGCTACGCCAACACAGTTCAATGAACTATTGACATTGGCGTAGGTAAACAACAAAAATATCCTAAAATATAATATCAGAAGTACTATAACTATGTACTACAGTCTTTATAATTAAAAAAATATATAAATAATACGTTTTAGTACTTATTCCCATGAAATTATTACACGAAAAAGAAAAAACGTGCTTAGTTTACGTTGCGTCGTCAATAGATGGCGCTGACTGTGGATAAAGCGCGTATTACTTCAGTAAAAACGTTTTGGTCTCGTGTCATTGTACCGCGATCACGTTGTTTTGATTGTAATGATTATAATCAACATGTTTATGTGTTTAAAAGAGAATAAGTAATATTGAATGTATGTTTTGCGAGCTAGACAAAGAATTATTTTATGAGATTTAAGGAGAGGTCATGATTTCCTGGTGGTTAGCTATCAGCGCCGCCCATAGACTGTGTTAGCAGAGTTTCTATTGGATTACCGGTCTGTCAACTTCATTCAGACAAAGCAAGTGTTATTTTTCTGTAAGGCCGTGGTATACCGAAGTATGATGTAGTATTAACGAAGTATAATTAACTGTTCTTGGTTTTAAACATACTTTATTTCTAGTAGCGTGATTCGTACTCGGTTCACGGCTGTAGGTTTGTTTCTCAATGTATTAAATGCGGTTACGGTAACATATTGTTCAGGTAAATCTTCGCATGGGCAAGCTTGACCGAAGTGATACCACGGCGTTCAGAAAGCGAGCGTGAAACAACGGTTGCTTTGTCTGAATGAGGTTGACAATCGGGTAACCCAGTAGAAACTCTTTATATGGGGGACTCTGATTGCTTACCATCATTGAATCTTGATCTCTTACAGCCTTATAGGAAATTGGCATGAAACAACCACAATACATCGTTGTGTTTTGCCGTGTGAGTGAGGTCCCGTTAACCTCACTCACTCGGCAGTCCAAATATTTTGAAGAGGAATGATGGAAACAATAATTTTATGTTGGATAGCCTATTTATTAATGAAGGCTTAGGATATTAAACATCACGCTATATTAGCTACGAAGTGGGACAGTAGCTAGTATAACAATAATAAAAAAAGCTATATATGTATGTATATATTTACCTCATAAGTTTGCTAACCAATTTTCCGAATATGAATTATTCTTATTTATTTAAAGCTGCGGTGATTTCTAGCTAATGGTGTTCCTTTGTTTTATTTCCACACTCAATAATAGGTGTTTACCTATGAAATTGCCGTTCTGCAGTACTGGCCATTTGAAATCAAAATAGTTTTTGTTAGGCTAAGGCTAATTAATTTTGTTTTAAAAACATGGGATTCTTTTTCCAAAAGTAGTCATTTGTTTATTGATTAGTGTTACCTACATTTTCATCGCATTTCAAATAAAAAAATTCGTTTAAATTTTTTCATGCAAAACGGCAATTTTATAGGTAACCTATTATTATGAATAGTTCTGTTATTCATATACATAGGTATACATACAAAATACCAAATATTAAATTATGTGAAGTGGTGTATTAATATTGGTCACAGTGCTTTCCTATTAAGACTCAATATTTTTTTTGGAATGACACATAAACATTGTTTCGTATGAATTATGTTTGTGTTACTTGTAATGTCATCAAATTTTAATAGCATAAGTACATATTTAGTTTGTTGAAATAATATTGATTATTTTTGAATTATATATTTTTGTTGTAGTGTGGATTGTACTATACTAGAATAGGGTAGGTAGTTTCAAATAGGAATTGAATCTGAAAAAGGATGCTGTCTCGCACTTGATTTTCGAACTCGTTCATTTTATATCACTCAGTGGTGCACTCAATTGTTGTGGTGACACGGAGGTTAAGACGCCCGTTTGTCTTGTATCGGTGCGGTTTCGAAACCTGTCAAGTACCAATGTGACTTTTTCCAAGTTATATGTATGTACTTTCTAAGATTATTTAGACATCACTGACATACGGCGAAGGAAAACATTATGAGGTAACCTGGACTTATAATTATTTATGATTATAACTTTGCGATCGCCAATCCACCTTGAGCAAGCGTGGTCTAAAGCTCAAACCTTCTTCGTACGAGAAGATGCGTTTGCTCAGCAGTGGGCATTTATAGGCTCATGATGATGGTGAATGGTGCTTCGTGTCTAGAAACAGGCTCAAATCCTGTTACATGAACTCATGGCTGGTCAACATTGTGTTACAATTGAATTCGTTTCACTCACATAATACATACATTCAGTCAACAAAGTATCGGGAATGAATGTTTTTTTTATGGTTCCAAATTCGAATTTTAATTTTTTTTGTTGTTGTTAGATTGGCATAACTGTTTTCCATTTTGGCGCGGAATTTGAGTTGCATCTGTTATTTATATTAAAAACAGTGCTGTTTTTAGTTTTATAATATCTAGTGTGTATTGCGAATTTCATAATGGACAAAAACATCGAACAAAGAGTTTGTCTTAAATTTTGCATCGCCAATGAAATTTCGTGTTCGGAGGCACTCAAAATGTTACAGAAGGCTTACGGTGAATCGACTTTATCAAAAACACGTGCTCATGA